ATGACCCCACCTCTCCAGCCTGTCCAGGTCTCTCTGGATGACATCCCGTCCTTCTGGCGTGGGGACATCCCCCCCTCAGCTTGGGGTCATCCACAAACTTGCTGAGGGTGCACTCGATCTCACTGTCTAAGTCATTGGTGAAAACATTAAACAGCACTGGTCCCAATATGGACCCCTGAGGGACACCACTCATCACCAGTCTCCATCTGGACATTGAGCCATTGACCACTACCCTCTGGACATGACCATCCAGCCAGTTCCTTATCCACCGAACAGTCCACCCATCAAATCCATAGCTCTCCAATTTAGAGAGAATGATGTTGTGGGGGACCGTGTCAGAGGCTTTGCAGAAGAATAACCCGCCCCGAGCCAATTTGCCAGTCCAGGTCTGTCTATCACTTTGTCAGTCCTAAGACCTGTCAGCCAGCAGAGCAAATATAGAGAGCTGTGGCCTTTATGCTGGATGTCCAGAGACCCAACCAAAGAAGAGTTCTGTAGCCTTTAGACTGATACTACTGTGTCAGCAAATCTGCCTAATACTTAGTCTATGTGGAAGTGTTTGTTTTTATAGCAAAGACTGTGAAACTACTGCTTATTTACTAAATGGCATGAAGGGTGGAGGCATTTTTAAGGAATTACTTGCAGCCTTCTGAACTTAATGGAATAATCCAATAATCTAAACACTTTCAACTCTGGTATTTCAGTTCCCCATGACTTGGAGGTAGATCCAGTGCAGGACCGGGCTGCCCAGCCCTGGGAGCAGAACTGAAAACATGGGGCCCGGGTCCTCAAGGAGTTTGAGGTGGTTGGTGCATGTAGGCTGGCACTGAGATCAGTTAGCCTACCCTGGCCTCCAGGCTGGTGCTGTTAGACTGTTCCTGGTAGCTGAGCTAGCTCACCTGCAGGTGGCTCAACCAGGAGCAACTTAACTTATGGCCTTAAGTTGCACCAGGGCAGGTTTAGGTTAGAAATTAGGAAAAAATTTCTTCACAGAAAGGGTTGTCAGGCTCTGGAATGGGCTGCCCAGGGAAGTGGTCGAGTCCCCATCCCTGGAAGTATTTAAAAGAAGGGTAGATGAGGTGCTTAGGGACATGGTTTAGTAGAGAGATGGCAGTGTTAGGTTAACGGTTGGACTTGATGATCTTAAAGGTCTTTTCCAACCTAAATGATTCTATGATTCTATGCCCTTATGCAAACAGATGGATGTAGGATGAGCATCAGTTGTTTCAGTGGACTTTCTGACATTGCTCCCCCCACATGCAGAGCTGCCCCATTCCTTATACAGTTCCCATCCAGAATAGGACTGGTGAAGCTAGTGACTCCCACCATGAAGGTGCTTAGGACATGACTTTTCTAGAGAGTAACTAAGAGAGGGAGAAAAAACAAACAAACAAAAGCAATGCAGTTTGGAGGTGCAGCTGGCTCAGCAGAGAAGTTGCTGTGGGATTGTACGCTCAGAGCACATGAAGAGAAAGGAAGGGAAACAGACGCCTGTGCGGAAAAGACTGAGGGATTACTTATTTTCAAGGCACATTTGTCTACTAGAGAGTAGATATTTCTTCAAACTCAGAGGAACCACCGGGGTGGAAAAAATGGAGGTAATAGGGGGGCTAGCACAGCTCCAGCTTAGTCCAGCATCATACTGAGGTTGTTTTCTTGAGGAGTTAGCACTGAGAACTCGTCGGATTTCCCTGCAAGCCGTTTCACTCCTTCCATTCTGGGAGGGACCTGGCTGCTGGTTGTAGGCAGAATAAGAAAGTTCATTGACTCTAATTGCACCAGTTTTGATGACATCTTAAAGAAGAATCAGATTTTTAGGTAATGATTTAGATACTGTTCTATCAATACTCAGGTTTCTCCGGGTACCACCGCAGAAGAGACACGCCATTCCGCAATGACTCTCTATGAACTCCTGCATAAGCAATGTTTGGCTGCAGCAGTCACGCTACAGTGCTACACAATCCTTGCTAGAAGTTTACATTGCAGTTTTTTAATTCATGCTTGGGGACCCCGGGCAAATGTGAAAGGGTCCTTGTGGTGCATCCTCTGGGCTTTTGACGTGGCCCTCACTGCAGTGTATGGAAGACTGAGGGGGAAGGTTTTGCACACATTGTGAAATATTTTCCTTGGTCTTCAAAAGGATGTGTGTACATGCCTGTATGTATTTCTTACCTTGAGTAGCAGGGCTTAGGACTGAAATAAGAAATTATCCACACCTAGCCAACACCCAGTACAGAACAGGGAATCTTCAGTCACACTGACAGCATTCTCCCATTGGGAATGATACTATTTTGGTGCGTTTGGAATGGAAAATACACAACTTCATAAATAAAATATTTAACAGTTTTTCATGCGGTCCTTAATGGCTTGACATTAGAAATACCCTGCTTATAGACCAAGGCATTTCCAGTATCATTCCTTTCCCATGCCGAATTTGTGGTTTGCGATGGAAGTATACTTGTAAGAACATGGGCCAGCGATGGCACTTATCAATTGTCATGATAACTCTGTCCTGCACGACAGAGAACTTAAAGAACAATAATAAAATCCAAGTAGCATTCTCTAAGCAAAGAAAATCAATCAAACACTCTGTTTATTGATCCACTTTAGAAATCTCTATAACAGGCTCAGGGAGTGGGCAGCTAGCTGAAGCATATACCTTTATGGCTAGGTCTTTTAAAACACCCGGCTGTAGCATAATACCACTGAGAGAAATTATGCTCTCCTTATGCAGCCTGACAGCAAATCTACCATCCTATGGCGCAAAGCATTATCCTTAACATTTCTCTAAAAAAGGAGAGAGAACAGAAAAAGGATTTTCACAGCTGGCAATGTACTAAAACATATCAGCTTTCACCAGGACAATATAATGGTACTACTGTTTAAGAAAATGCTTCAACCTTGTTTAATTTTCTTAGTTTTTTTTTTTTTTTTTTTGTAAATAGAGCCTTTTCTCTTTGGAAGATGGAAGAAAATGGGGGAAACAAGGATAAGTAAATATTTTCAGCCTTCTCAGCTGAAATCCATAATTACCGTTTTATTCCTTTCTGCTTTCTGATATATAGATTTCACAGAGCTGATTGCAGGCTTCAGGAACCATCTTTGCCTTTTAAATTGAAGCATTTCAGGTTTTCTCTAATTAACAACCACTTGCAGAGTACATCACAGGCTTAGTGCCTACTCACCAGCCAGGTTTCTCATAGACAGATCTGTTATTGCACTAAAGTGGGGGCAAGAGGCCTTCTGTATTAATAGTTTATGAAGATAGCTAAATTACAGCTGACCATACAGTATTCTGGCTATGTTCTTCTCCTAAGCCTCTCTCTGGAGTCTCTTTTTCTGGGGGGGTGCAAAGCTTCTTGAAGTGATAATACCTTCTCCTGAATGATAATAATTTGGACTGGTTGGTGTGGGGCAGCATCATTTTGAGAAATAGCTCTGGGAAGTGCTTAGGCAACCTTCCTTGTATAGAGCATCAACTAATTAAAACAGAAACTTCAGCTTTTTTTTCCCCTTAAGGTGACAGAGTTTTAGATCTAAAGAAACAAAACCAAAAAACACAGGAAGTGGGACAGCTGTTATTAGATGTCAGTGCAAAGGGGAGATAAATGAAAAGCCTCTGATTTATCCACAGAAAACTGCCCAGGATCAAGGTCTTCACACAGTCACCCACTTTGTTCCCAGTCCTTTTTCACCCAATCAGTCTCACTGCATGTTCCTCGTAATAAGCTAACTAGACCCAGAGCTTCTTGGAGCAAGGTGCTGTCACAGTTTTGTCTTGTACAGTGGCAAGCACATGAGTTGTTTCTTAAAAACAAATGGCACAAATTCTGCGTTCCCTTCCTCCCTCCATCCCTCTGCTCCTCCTCCCCTTGTCCCTTCGTGCCTCACCCCCTCATGATGTTTGTGTCACCTTTGGGATCCCAAGTTCTCATTCACCCCATTCCCTTGCTAATAATTTCTGTCATAAAGCAAAACAACTGTGCAATACAAAAGGAAAGCTGTCAGGTAGCCAAAAGTAGCATCAAAAAAGCGGTAGAGAAGGAGATATTCTTATATCTGTATTGCTGACGGAGAAAACCCTATGGCAGGACATATGCATGCATTTACCATTTTAAAGAAGTTATCATGCTTGCTGAAAGCATCAACTTTAGAAGGAAACCCAGAGCTTGAAAGAATGAGTATTGTTGTAATGCTCAGGAGATGACTTGTATTATTTCAGATAAACGTGGCCGAGAACTGATGGACATGTATTCCGTAGACACTGGCATTTTCTTCACAGAATAGCTGTTTTCTGCTGTACCATCCTCTGTTTTGCTTAATACCATATGAGCCTCATTACTTCAGTTTGGAGGGTTGTGAACATTCACACAAAAAGGCGCTGGGAGAAGAGCAATAGTTTGATTGATGCAATTTTCACATTGGCCCAGTGGATAATCAGAAGAGCTCTTCTATTACAAGGACATGCAGAAAGCAAAACATTATAAATCCTACCCACAACCCAGGGCCAATAAGAAAGGCTAAAAAACCTCCAGCAACGCAGGCTTTTCTTGACAGAGTCATTGTTAACAGCTTAACAGCAGCTAGCAGGCAAGATCTGATCTTATGCCAGGAGTACAAGGCACACAGCAATTTGAAAGAAGGATAAATGTATATGTATAGAAACGACATCTCCCTAAAATGATAAAAAACAAATAGATTAAATGAACCCCTACCTTGGAGAGCCTGGAGTGTACGAGTCTGTACAACAATACAGAGCTGCAGGACCAGCTGGGGTGCACTTTCCAGAAACGTGGCTAGCAAATGCAGCATACTCACATCTGCATACTCATACACCATTTTCCAATAAAACCGCCATCTGTCATTCTCTCCACTCCGTCGACTCCGGATACCCAAGTATATTGTGTGGAAATACCTAGGAATAAAAGAAAGAGGTTATAGAAAAGCAGAACAATATTTTACAGGTAACACCTCTGCTTGAAAATAACCAACTTTTTTTCAATGTACTTCAAATTAATTAACAATTATTTGAAAGGATTATTGTATTGCAATGTATAATAGTTGATGTGGTAAGAGTAAACTGAACTGAAGACAAGCCTTGCCTTCATAAAACCATTTAAAAACCTTAGCATTGTCTTATTTGTTCCTTTCAAGGATCCAGTTTTCTGAATTGAAATATAACGGGAATGCGTTGATTATAAGGCCTCCCTCAGAGTTTTGTTGAATATTGGGGGGAACAAAAGCTGATTCCACAACGGTCTCTGCTCAGAACCTGCAAAGAACTGATCTCCTTTCTACATGACTCTGCGGTCTTGGAAGACCACCTGCTCTGCAAGCCTGGGCTGGTCTTAGCCTGGGGCCCTGCTACAGCTGAGCTCATTGTCCTGCTTTTCCACCCATCTAATGCATTGAATATCATATTTCAGATACTGCCAGATATATGGTGCTTTTTCTCCTAGTTTGATTATTTTAGGAAGAGAGAAGATGTAGTTGTGAGTTCCTATTTTAGGAGGAGCGGAGATCTGGCTGTGGGTTCCCTTGGTGATTAGAAATGACTCACTACGATAGCTCCCGTGCAGCAGCAAGAGCAAGAAGCAGCAGGGGCCAGGAGCCCAACAGGCTGCTGCTGCTGGAAGTAGTAACCAGCAGATGAGAGAAGTAATGGTCAGAAAGCATGTGTTGGCTCTGGTGGTTTCTGGGGGGAAAAACACCTGGGGACCAGTCAATTAAATAGATTTTGGTGGGTGCTGGAGCCATGAGTGGTTTTAGGAAGCAAGGAATGTCTTCTGACGGCTGAGCCACCTGTCTGCTGCGGTGCTTTTTGTGACCCTTGCAGAGCTCGCAGGGGTCTCCTGTGACACCCCTGCGTCACAGCGCAACGACTGCTCTGGGTGGCCTTCGATCTGCTCTAGCATTCCTACCTGCTCTCTGTTAATTCCATGTCAGAAAATCTAGGCTCCTACAATTTTAATTCAAAACTAATTAAGGCTGGCTGAAAAAACAGTCTCAATGAAAAATTCTGAAGATTAAGATATTGTCTTGCATCAGGGTGTCTTGCATCCTACCAGAGTGCCCTGTTGGATTACTAACTGATATGGATCTCTGTTTCCCTTTTTCTCACCTTGTATTCCAGGACATCCTGGTCCTGAAAGCATTTCCTTATGATCTTTTTAACATGTTTTCACAGCACTTTTTTTTTTTAAATGAGATTATATTTTCTAATAAGGAAAACTGTAGTATTTTCAACACTTCCAATATGAGTTGTTCTAATGGGATAAAACATTTTCCTATTTCTCCTCCTTCCCACAAGTCTCTTAAACCCCTTTCCATAACTGGTGGATCATGGTGAATTGTGGAACCTCTTTCTATATAGGCTGCATGCAACCTTTCATTCCTCTTCTGTTGAGTTGTAACTCTGGAGGTATGTTCTGCTGATGAGAAGATTTTTGGCCTTAAAGAATGACCACTGTGCTTGTACCCAGTCAACCCTTGTACCCCATGCGCAGGCCACCACAGAGCAACAGCTTTACTCAGGAACATGCATCAACCAAAACCAGGGAGTAGCACAGAGAAACAGCTGAGAGGCCAGATCGGAGCCTGCAGCATTTCTCTTGACAATGCACATCATAGCAATATAAAAGGAAAACACATTAAATTCATATTTAAATTAAAATCACACCAGGTGGCTTTGAATTTTATCAAAGTCCCATGTGGGAGTGAAGCAGCAATGAACCACTCAGAGACTGAGACCACAGAGGTACAGTAAACAAGACAGCAACCCTACATCTTGTGCAAAACACTGAGCAGGTCTAGATGGGATAACAGGGGCTCACCGGTGTCCTCAGGGTTAGGTAAAATGAAATGGCCTGCTGCCCAGATCTGAAAGAAGCCACTGAGCTGGAAAGACATCTTTTGCTGTTCAGTTCTGCTAATGGGGTCTGTTGGACCCCCAGGTTCTCAGCCACAATTGGTTTAATTGTTCCTAGACCGCTCATTAATGTCCTGCAGCACAACAGGGACCAGTAGGACTTGGATTTCCTTCTACAGTGTGTTTTTTGGATAGGGTTTGTTTGGCCTGCTTCACATGTCCTCCCAAGGGGCACACCTGGGAATGGTGCACATAAGAGGAGGGCAGACAGCATCTTCAGCATCCTTCTTCTGAGATATCACTAACCCTTGCTATAAATACCTAAAGTAGCTTTGGCTGCCGAGGGTTGTGCCAGGAGTCTCTAGCTCTGCCAGTGGAGCCATCTGCAACTTTGGTTCTACAGCATTTGTGCAAAAAATACTTTTCCTATTATGAAAATGATATGCTGTGCCAGGCAACGTCCCTTAGGGTTCTTTACCTGCTCTGCAGAGTGGTTGTGCATGGCAAATATGTTGTGATTAATGAACCCTTATGGAAATATTTCCTCTCCCATTGCACTTTACTGTGAAACACTGGCAGTGAGTTATTGGGGACTGGGGAATCATTGCTCTTTGTCTACTTAGCTCTCTGCAATTTAGACACAAGAGGCCGAGGAGGAAGATACTTTCTCTCTTTACACACTGAGGACCAAATTTCAGCCTAGGGTGGTATTTTTTTCTGTCCTATCAATTTTGGCCAAATTAATTGCAGGCTGAAATAAGCATTTACACAGATAATTACTGTCACTGATTTATAGGCACAATCAGGTGACTAGACAGCTAAACATTCTCATTTGCATCCACAATTAATTGCACCAGCAATTGATGTTAGGTGTGCAAATTAGCAGTTATTAAAATAAAAAAGATGGTCTCATAAAATGCTTCATATATCAAAGACACTTTTTTCCTGTAGTAAAACAGAAAAGAAAAAAAAAAAAGTTGGGGGAAAGTGCTCTTCTTGTGGTTTCCAAATATAGCTTAACACTGCAGTAATGACACATTCTATTTTATATACATATATATATATATGCATTATGTAATTGCATCTTAGACACTCTCACTGGAATCCTATTGTCAGCAAATGCTATACAGACACTCTCAAAGATAGTTCCTGCCCTGAAGAGTTTTTATATTTTGGTCTTCTGGTTATGTTTCAGTGGAAACTCACATTTTTCTGTGGCTCCAGGTTGTGGCTCTTCTATACAGTTATACCAGAAAGATATAGGAAGAAGTAATAACAGCTCTGCATTGGAAAATACCTTAGGTTCATTGTAGGGTACACTGATGCCAATGAACCTGAAAGAGCAGATGTGACTGTTATTATTTTGGTTGTGATTGCATCCAGGGGCCTCAGCTACCGTTTTGTGCAGGTGCTGTACACATAGACAAAAACTGCCTATCTGTTTCCCCAAAGAGCATTTAATTGACATGAAAAGAAATGGCAAGGAGTGGAGAAGTGCGAGTTAGAGCACCAGAGGAAGAAAGGAAGAAAAGGAGGAATGGGAAGTATGGTAACAATACTGCCATCTAGTAAACTACTTCATCTTATAAATCAGGATAGTCCATTAAAGTTTCTCACCAGAAAAGTAAAAAACAAATAAAAAACTCCCCCTCCCCCCCAAATCCGCAATTTCATAGAGCTCATGTTTGTGGAGAAAAGGAGAAAAGCTTAGAAGTAACTGAGTTTCCTAAAGATTTTACAGTTAGAAGACTATAAAATGTACTATGAAAAAGCGATATCAAATCTTATTATTTTAAAATTCCTCTTTTTTTTTTTTTTTTTTTTTTTAAGCCAGACCACTGCTTGGGTTGTCAACACTGATATAAACAAGCTTATTATTCAGAAAGAAGACACTGGGGTAGGAAGGGATCCTTCCTGTATCACTGATAATCAGATGGCAACATCTATATCGTTACTTGAGACTTAATGTCTTTTTTACCCTCTGGAGGAGGTGGAGAATGCTTCAGCATTTAATTGTTTTAATTTATTTCAGTACATCACACAGCACCGTATACAGACCATTGATAAAGCAGAACCCTGAAGGATATGAATCTGAGACAAGATCATAAGTGACATTCTTTTTCTATTATATTAATGAGGGAAGGCAGTAAAGTAAAAAACAAACAGAAAAAGCAAGTTAGTCCTTGCACTGCCCACAAGAAGTGTTCAAGACGCAAGACAAATAGAAGCAAAAAATTACCTCTATTTATTTTTGTGGAAAAAATATATTTCTGTTCTAGG